AAGCTGCCTAACCCTTGATAGCCATACAAACACTTGATGTGATGTGTGGCTGTACAGTAAATACAGTAAATACTTTACACAACTTTACACCATGTATTTATCATTTTATTCCGGCGCTAGTAGCGGCCTAGGCTAATGTCCAATGATTCTGAATGAACGCGAGTTAGCATGTCAGTGCTAGCCTACTGTTACGCATTACTACCAATAATATACATTACCAAGTCATGGCTAGCTGTCGGTATCTAGGTCCAAGTAAGTGTACAAGTTTCATTGTGAATTTGCTTAGAAGAAACAATGCAGGAATTTCTTCGGTGGAAGGAAACTTTTTGCGACCTTTAGGAGATTCTCTCCAGTTCCAAAACTGACTAACGTGCTGCCATCTTCAGGTATAATATAAATATGAAACAGCTTTTATGTCGAATGTAACAATTAACCGAAAAAACCTTATTTTTAACAAATAATCTAGTATGCCCGTGTACTACAATAGTAATGCGTAATTTCGGATAAATATAAATTTGTTTCTAATACGTTAATATAATTTTTTAAAGCACAGTGTTATCGTGCACACGTAATAGTTACGTAGCTGCTGGGCAAAAGTTAGATTGGGACCGTTTCGTTTCCTTACGTTAGGCAATATCATTCAATCTGGAGCCCGGTGTCAGTCTATGGAAAGAGCTAAACAAGGTGTGTAGATGTTTTATAACCGTCTGTTCTACTTCTACCTTGACTTTTCTAACCGTCTGTTTTATAATCCGGTCTTCTCTCTCCGACCTTCGTTGCTACTTGATTGACTGTTATATGGTAAAGGAATAGTTACAGATATAGAAGTAAGTAAAATGTTAATCAAACCATTGAAGTTATACTTTCGAGCACATCAGAGATCGTAGACTCGGAGTCTGCTAGTCCGAGCCGACGCAGACCCCAGTAATGGGTCCCGCACCCTCAGATAAACCCGCACCCTCAGATTAGCAAAGCGGAGTTTACGTCTGCATTTGCGGACTAGGAGTCTGCATGCAGTTAACCCGACCAGGCTGTGTGACTAACGTCAATACGTCATACACAATAGGGCATTCTAACCCTAGCAATACCGTTTCTTGGAGCTAGCATGCAGTTAGCTCTAGAGTAAACCGACCAGGCTCTCCGACTGTTACTCGCCACGTAGTGTTAGGCGAGATGGGAACTTGTGGCTAGCTCTAGAGTAGAACTATAGTATAGACTATAGTATAGGCTCTCCGCCTCCTCCGCAGGCGGAGCGGAGGGCTATACCTATAGTTCTAGAGCTAGCAAGCAGTCAACTGAGACATGGCCTCCGGGGCCCAATGATAGAGAACATGGGTCCCAATAAAACCAATGTGCCTAACCCTAACCAGGGGTTGCCCTTGACTTTTTTTTCAGGTGGCCGGCCGGGCCACTTGAGTATGAGATTCAGGTGGCCAAATGGATTTTCAGGTGGCCCGGTTGCTACATTTATTAAATAATTTATTTGTATCCTAACTATGGGTAATGTGTTTTGGCAAATAATCGCAATAACATAGCTAGATTACGACAACAACAAAGAAAGAACAAAACC